GATCTGTCCCTTCTACTGTATAGAAGTATAATGTCAATGGGCCCACTGAATAGTAGGACTTGGGAAAGTGCATGGCCATGCCCAGATATGTCGCTATCTAGAGACTGATAAATATCTGATCCCTGCCAGTCTACTTGAGATTCAGTAACAGCTGATTTAACTATACAAGGATACACATCCCATGCCTTGTGTTAAATCATGACATTTAGGACAGAAGGATAATAGTTATAGAATGTCTCGTGTCGTAGAAGGTATTGATGAGATGAACGTCTTTTTCATAATCTGGGGGTAATAATGTGTTGCTAGATACCGCTTATTATCTATGGTATTAATTTTATTAATATCATTGTCAGTGTTATGGATACCTAAAGGGTCACACACTTAGGACTTGTAAGGGAGTAGTATACTACACTAGTCGGAGTAATATTAAATATATAGTTGTGATAATTTTATATATATATATATATATATATGTGTGTGTGTGTGTGTATGTATTTCAAAAATACATATGTATTTTAAAATTATATTTTGTTTGTGTCATTTTAATTATATGATAATTATATTTTGACAAAACAAATTTTATCATATATATATATATATATATATATATATATATATGGATATCGGGATGTATAGGGTTGTAGAGAGAAGGCGGAACGCCGCCCCTTGGCGGCATTGCAATCACAGAGGTCGCCAGCCTGAGCTCGAATATAAGAGGAAGGGAAGGGCATCTCTCCAGTCACCATTGCGGTAATATGAGGAACCACACTATTACAGTCCCAAGCTTCAACCATTAGCTCACCTCTGGAAGAAATCTGAAGATCGCCGATATTGGAGGAGACGGAACTCTGGCCCAAATACCAGTGCAGCTGGTGAGATTTCACTCTCTATTGAAAGCAAAGACTTCGAACTATCGTATGAAGGGCACAACATCATCATCTCCGAATCTAAATCAGGTAAAATCCGCCATCTATACATCGCTAAGACTCTTGCCCCTTGGCTAATTGATGTTCTAAGTCGGCCGGAATACTCAAACGAAAACTGGGAAATTACCGGTTATGATGGTGATTCTTTCCTCAATGTTTTTTGGGATTCAAATAGATTTGGTCACTTTGCTCGCCTCTCATCAAATCTGGGACCCCAACACTCTCAAATTTTCATACCCGCTGGTTACTCTTTAGAAGGATTAAAAATTTTTAGCAGGGGTTTGACTGAGCTCTTACGGGCCTCGGAAGGGAGATGTAGTCAGAGTGACCCTCTGCCACTCCCTTACAGTGATGAAGGAGATTGCAGGAAGCTCAAAAATGACAAGGACGAAGGATGGAGATGCTGCCCCAGCTGGGTGCTGACTTCTGAAAGGGTTGATGAAGATCGAAAGCGTCCTGGAAATATGCTCCTTATTGACTCTATAATGGAACAAGAACTGGAAGGTGCTCCAAAACACACTCTAGATGCAGAAGCTCTAATTGACAAGGATTGTCTGAAGATACTCGATCAAGTCATTAGGGACAACCTTAACCTCTTCCGGAGATCAGTAGCAAACAAAAGATTTTTGCAAGTTCTTAAGAAGGGTGAGATACTCAGTTACTCAGGGGAAGTTATCAGGGTCACTAGAGAAGCAATGAAGAGCTTCGAGTTCATTGATGCAGCAATAATTCAAGGAGCAAAGTATCCGGTATTCCTTGCTTATGCAAAGGAGGATATGGAGGTAGTGCTCACTCAACTGTGTGGTGTTCAAGAATGAATGTAGAACACATCTTGGCCAGGGATAGTTTTCACTTCCATTCAGTTTTATTTTCAGCCTTTCTAGGATGGGTTTTCTTGCAATAATTTCACCCTACTGTTGGTGTTTGGGGTGTGGCAGTAGTCACATAGTTATTAGGGACACAAAGTCCCACAATGAGTTTGAAGGCTGGTAGGTTTAGGCCGTTTAGTAGCCCTAGACTTTGGTGAACGGAAAATCAAGAATTTTGTGGGTTTGGCTCTCTTAGACTTCACTCACTTTAGGGTGGTTTTACTGATATGCTTAAACTTTGCTTGGAGGAAATCTATGGAATTAAGGTATGGGATTTGAAGCTGCCACTTGAAGATTCTCAATGCTGAATAATTGGCTACTGGAAAGGAAATCATTGTGGGCTGGGCCCTCTTCAATAGCAGATGTTGCTGTTAAGTTCGGGTTCCAGAGGAAGAAGAGGTTATAGAATGGTACTTGTAGCCATGTCCCCTTTCCCTTTTTTGATATGTTTGGAATTTTCTTGGGCCACTTGTTGGGGCAGGCCACCCCAACTCTTTGTACTTTTCTCCTTTTTCGAATAAAATCTCTATTATATATATATATATATATATGAAGGGCCGAAATTATATATATATATATATATTATTTTATTTTTCATCATTTTAATTATATGATAATTATTGATGTCAAAAATAAAATATGATATATTTCAAATATGGGATGACCGAAAATTTTAAGAGGAAAAATCCAAGACCATTTGATTTTTACATAAAGTATTTTTTAATGTCAAATTGAGATATTTGATTATTATTTGATGTAGGGATTCTATTTTGTTTTGTTATGGTGGTTAGAGACATTGAATTTTGATTAATTCATTATCACAATTTAATGTCTCAAGGAAGCTTCATGGCATCTTACATTAATTAATGTGTTATAAAATGAAATAAATCCCACCCCATTTTATAAGTGATATTCGGCCATCACAAGGAAGAGAGAAGAAAAATTCTATTTTTTGTGTTCAAAGTTATTTTTCTAAAGTGTTAGAAATATACACAAAATATTATTAAGAAATATTTATAAGATAAATATTTTTACTATATATTTATTACTCCCAAAGTAGTATTATTATAGTTTTTACTATCCTATATTAAATTTGCTAGCACAAGTTTAATCTTGGACTCCGGAGCAAGTTCGTGTGGATACGTTGGAGGCTTCATACGTTTGGCGCTACGTTCATCTCCTCAAAACCATCCCCGACCGTTCCTCCGTTCTCCGTTTTCACCGTTAAGGTAATTTTCTTACTATAGCTAGTAATTTACGTAAGTTGTTCTTGGGTGGAATCGAGTTTTGGACTATAAATTTTTGTTTTCCGCTGCGTTATCCAAGCCTCGTTTCCCAACACGGCGCCGTGGCGCGGCAATGGCAGTGGCAGGTCTGGCATTGTCCGACCGCTTCTTGAAGGTTTGGGTGCTGATCGCCCAAATCTTCGTGGCCTTCGTGAGCGGGCCAATGGTGGTGGTCACCTTGAACCGTTCAAGGATGTCCATCACCACGAATGGGTATGGGAGGAGGTGATCGTGGTCGGTGGACGCGGCGACTGTCATGTTGATCATGACAAACTTCGCCCAATTGATTGGTTCCGAGTGCATGATCGTATGTAGGAGTTTGAGGTCCTCACCAGACATGATCGTGTGCCCATGCTTCTAGGGCTTGATGATTCGAGACACAATGTAGAGAAGAAGCCGGCTCTCGGGGTTTGCGGAGTGGATGGTGGGGCGGCCCGAGGCATGGCGGATGAGCTCGGTGATGCCAAGCTCGTTGAGGATAAGGCCCTCGTTGTTGAGCACCCAGTCCTCTCTGCCATAGTGGGAGATGTCATCGCCTTGGTAGGGGAGGCCGGCGATGCGCCCAAGCTGCTCAACGGAAAGCTCTATCGGCGTGCTCTTGACAAGAGAGTAGAGCACGTTGCCCTCACGCTGGACGTTGGAGTAGAAGGCCCGGATCAGCGCCGGGTTAATCTCCTTCCTAGCCCGGGAGACGAACGGCCAAAGGCCGGCTTGGTGAAGCTGCGCGTCTAGATCGTCGTAGCCCTACAACTCCGGGAAGTGCTCCGGGACGATCCGTGGTTGAGCCAAAATCCGTTAAGAGAAGAAGGTGAGGAAACGGGTGCGCTCCTCCTCGGAATCGAACCAAAGATACGATCCGTCGCCGTAGTAGAGGCGCCCTCGGAGTTTGTTGACGGTGCCCGGGATTTGGACATCGTTTTCCCGGAGGTGGCAGCCCTGCTCTTGTCTTTGCCCATGGTGAAGAGATCTCAAGAGAAAAGAGTAGAGAAGATGAATTATGCAAAGATATTGAAGAGAATTGTGTTTGTGTGTGTAAAAGTGAAGAGAGGGGGGCCCAATTTATAGAAAAAGATGTTCTCAACGTTCATATTTTCAAAAATATGGCTGTTGGAGTAATTAATGCAGTTGCCAATGGTTTTTTTTTTGAAAACTTTATCCAGAACAGCGATGTTCCAAAGGCTACATCGCTGTTGGGACCGCGCTGTTGCGCCTCTGGACAGCGCTGTTTTGCGTCAAGTTTTAAAAACAAGTGTCAACTGGATAGCGATGTTGGGTATCCTACAGCGATGTTCCCAAAGTTTCTGGAAGTGTGTAAGGGTGTGCACCCATTAGAACAGCGCTGTTGGGTTTCCCTACATCGCTGTTTTACGATAGAGAAAAAATTTGTAAAAAAGGACAGCGATGTTGAATAGAAGGACTTCGCTGTTTGAAAAGTTTCTGGTTTGGGTTGAAAACAAGGTGTTTAGGGTAGACAGCGATGTTGTGAAAAGAGACATCGATGTTTAAAAAGTTTCTGGAAAGCAAAGGTAAAGGGAACTCCCTGGGACAGCGCTGTTGGTGTATTGTACAGCATTGTTGGCTCAAGCTGGTTGACGGTGTTTCCTTCAACAGCGCTGTAGGCATGGTTCCCCCTGATTTCATGAACGGAGTTCTTGCAAAGTAACACTTTGGTACCCAAAATATTTTTATGGGTCCTTGGAGGTTAATTGGTTTTTATTATCCACACACACACTAAAAGTTTATTTCCACACACACCTTCACACACTCGGTTTGATGATAATTTAGGGGTTACCTTGGCCAACCCGTCGTCCCGTGGTTGGCGGGTTCAAGTCTACCTGAACAGAATGCCGATATCTCGGTGTGATTTGTGTCGGTTCCGGTAACGGAATGTGGACTTTCTTCTTTTCGTCAAAGTAGAAGAAATAGTAAGGTTTCTTTTGTGCATTTGCCTGTGGAGATTGTTTATGATACGAATATCCTTTTCTAAAGGATTTCTTTTCGTTAGCACCAAATATGTTGTGTGTTTCATTATAGGTGAGATGCCTATGTCTAGTAAAACACACAGGAGCTATATGTCCTACCCTATTGCAATAATGGCATACTACGTTTGGGTTGAACATATGCCTAGGTTGATAATAGCTACGGGGTCTAACCATATTCATTCTATTTTGAGAAAAGGATGGTTTATGCATGTTTTCAAAAGAATCATTTCTAGGTGTCCTCATGTTATTTCTCCTATTTTGAGAAAATTTATTATTATGCACAAAATCATTTTTCTTAGGTTGTCTACCATGAACATTTTCATTCCTAGGTTTTAGTCTAGGTTGTCTAGTGTCCTTAGGTTGACTAGGTTTTCTATTATCCTGATTTTTAGGATTCTTACGTTGAGCCTTAGATGGTTGTCTAGATGGTGGCTCAACGTTTTCTTTAACCTTAACTTCATTTTTATTAAAACCTATTCCTTCCTTAGAAAAATGCATAGTGTCAATGAGCAAATTTAAATCTTTGTGCGGAGTATTAAATTTCTTGACCGTACTCTCAAGTTTTGTGACTTGTTCCTTTAAAGCTTTACAAGATTCACATTCGTTTGAGGAACTTTCTGGTTTGTCGGCGCTTCTTTTGCCATAAAATTTATTTTCTTGTTTTAACTTCTCATTATCTTTTACCAGTTTTTCAAAATCATTTTCAAGAGTGGAGAGGCGTTTCTTTAACGATTTGTTGATTTTAAAAGCGTTAACAAATTCATCATAAAGTTCATGAAGTGCTTCTTGCATTTCTTCAAAGGTGTAAGAGTCGGAAGAAATGGTACATACCTCTTGTACATCGTCGGTTTGGTCTTCGTGCGCAATGAGACAGAGGTTGGCAGTTTCATCCTCGTCTTGGTCGGTTGACTCGTCGCCGGAGTCGCCACCCCAAGAGATATATGCCCTTTGCCTTTTGAATTGCCCGGCTTCACCACATCCATAGCACACAGGGCCATCCTCAACCTTCTCTTTCTTCGTTAGAAGTTTACAAAACTTCTTCATGACAAGCTTGACTTCATCATCGTCGCTTGAATCATTCATCGTTGATTCTCTGACGGCTTTTAATGCTATCCCTTTCTTTTGGTCATTCAAAGACGGGTTAAGAATAGTAGATTCATAAGTTTTTAGATTACCTCTTAGACCGTCGATGGTGACATTTGATGTGCCGATTGATTCATAGATGGCATCGGCCTTAGATCGCCATTCGGATGTCAAGCTCCGTAGGACCTTTCGCACAAGATCCCTGTCAGTGTAAGTCTTCTTCAATGCATGAAGATCGTTGACTATCTTGGAGAATCGGTCAAACATGTCGTCGATATTTTCGTGCTCCTTCATTCTAAGCATCTCATACTCTTGGGTGAGGAAGTCGATCTTGGCTTCACGTACTTGGTCCGTTCCTTCGTACGTCACCTCAAGTTTATCCCACATCTCCTTGGCGGTTGTGTAACAGGAGATCTTTCGGTAGTCATCGGGGTGGACCGCACAATATAGAATATTGATGGCCTTTGCGTAATTCTCAATCTTCTTGATGTCCTCAGTATCAAATTCGTCCTCGGTCTTTGGGACCGTGGTTTCTCCCACTTTCTTCATAGGGATTTCCTCGCCATTCTTGATCACCAACCACAATTGGATGTTGGTGGAACGGATATAGATTCTCATCCGCTCCTTCCAATAGGAGTAGTTCGTGCCATCAAAGAGTGGTGGCCTAGAAGTTGATTGACCTTCTCCAATTCCTGCATAAAGATTTCTAAAAGAAGAACCCAAGATCGCTTTACTCTCAAACGGTTAAGTTTGGACGCGAGTTAGGCTCTGACACCAATTGTTAGAATAAGTGCCCTTCACTAGAGGGGGGGTGAATAGTGAGGCACAAGAATGTTTATAAATTTTTGCAGAATAAAAATCGCAGAGATAAAGTAAAGAGCGGAATAAAAAAAGCGTAAGGAAAGAACACACCAAATTTACCCTGGTTCACCACAACTTGTGGCTAATCCAGCCTCCCGAGAGACTCTCTCGAGCTACACTACTTCCGTTAAGCTTACGGGTGCTTAACAAAGCGTTACAACCTGAGAACTCGAGTCCCACGAGCCTCAACAACACTTGCTCGGAGATACCGCACTCTAAGACTTCAACCCGAAGGAAAGTACCTTTCCTTCGTACAACCAAGGGAAACAAACTTCCCTTAATGTCTATAAAAACTAAGAACACTCAAGAACAAGGCTCTCTCAAAAGAGTGAATATGAGTAAAGTAATACGCTCAAGATCACAACACGAACTTCACAAAAATGGCTCTCGAAAAGCTATGAATAATGTATAATAATATGCAATGAAAGAATAAAAGTTGTGAAGTAATGTGATATGTAAAACAGACCCAAACACCCCATTTTATAGTGCCAAAATAGGCTCCAATGGGTCAAAACATTTAAGGGGTGATTGGCTTGATTTGTGGGATTTGATTGAAATTGGATCTGCTGAAAATCAGCTAGACAGCGCTGTCCTAGGCTTGGACATCGCTGTTCTAGGCTTGGGTTTTGAAAAATGGGAAATAATAGTCATGCCAACAGCAATGTCCAATACCCCTACATCGCTGTTTTGGTTGTTGACTTCCAAACAAGGAAAGTTTTAGCCTTAAATTCCTTCCAACGGTCAGGTCCCTACATCGATGTTCATTATTTGAACATCGCTGTTTCGGTCTAAATTTGAAGATGGAAAGTTTGGCCTGACAGTGCTGTTGCTGGGTCAACATCACTGTCCAAAAACTTTCTGCCACAAGCATTTCTTTTTTGCTTAGGTTGGACAGCGATGTAGGGTAGTCTACATCGCTGTTCCAGATGTTTCTGGAAACCCAACCTTGGCTCAACAGCGATGTCTAACATCCAACATCACTGTTGGAAGACTTAACGTCAAACCATGGTTTTCAGCTTCCCATGCCAGATAGCGTTGTTGGTTACACCAACATCACTGTTGGTTACACCAACATCACTGTTGGTTACACCAACATCGTTGTTGGGCTGGTTTAGCCAGACCCATGGTTGGTTTAGTCATGCCGTTAGCCGATGACAAAAATGTAAGTTCTCCAAAATAAAAACCAAGTATTGAAAACATTTGTTTAATGCATTTTGCTAAGAAATCAAGTAAAACATCTTCAAAACCACGTCTTTTAGTTGAAAACCACGGCTAGCCAAGTTTACGCCGTTTCGGATGGTTTTCACTAAACGACCAAAAACGAAAGGTGGTTTTTGAAGCGTTTTTGTTGGAGAACTATTTATATATGCCCAGAAGTAAAAACCAATCATTAAAAGTTGAAAACCACTTGGTTGGTTCGGACGCCAAAAACCAACGCTGATGACCGAAAGCCGAACGCCGGTTTCCGAAACCTGAATGCCGGATGGCTTGGTTTTTGGTTTGGGCAAACTCCAAGTGTTTTTAGGCATATTTAAAACTTAAGAAGAACATTTTTGAATATGCAAAAAGTATTTTGATGATATGAGCCTAGAGAGCCAAGTTTTGAAAGTTTGTGCCAGTCTTGATCACATTAAGACCGACTCAATACAATTCTAAGTCTTCGTTCTTGATTCTTGGTTCTTGGTTCTCAGTTCATCATGCCATGTTCCTTTGCCTTGGTTTTGCTCAGTTTAATCTTGTTGTCATGGCGGTTTGGCATTATCAAAACCTGTCATAAAACGAACACGGTTTAGTACGACATAGGCGTAAACTCGTGTTCCAACACCTTGGGACGCCCGAGCGCAAGGACATAGGTACAGATGCCGTCGCTGAAGAGCAACCCTCAAACACCCTTCCTTAATGCTTTTCCTTTGTAATTGTTTGATGTTTTGTCTTCCATTGTAATGAATAAGATTTGCCTAATGTTTTGTTGCATGCGTGAATAGTGAATAGATTTTCTTCCGACATTATCTATTTGAATATATTTGAATTGCGTCTTTTAAGGGACTGATGCTTTGGCTTCCCCATGTAAGCAGACCTAACCACTGGACCGTCGCACTGCTTCCTCCACGTGTCGACGCAAACAGTTCCAACTCCAACCACTGCGACTGTTCACCTTCCTTATCCCTTTGCTTTCGGGCCTATAAATTGACCCCCTACTTGTGTTGTGAGACCACCTCTTCCTTACGCCAATTGTGTCGACATTCCCATGGCTTCCAATAATTCCAGGGAAACTGTTCCTTCGTCTTCTCAATCAAAGACCGGCCGTCGTCCTCCTCCTTCTCTGCCGGAAGATGCCGAATTGCGTACATGCTCATGGTGGTACCGTGCAAAGAAGTTGGAAAGGCGCATTGAACGTCTTCAAACACTCGTGAATTACCTTCACGGGGTCCCTCAACGGCCTGCGCCTCCGGTTGAGGTCGCTCAGTCGGCTGCTGATGTCATCCCTGCGGGTGACAATCACCTGGAAGAGTCCGTCAGCTCTTCCTAGATATCCCTTCCATGCCCCTTCCCTGTATATCTGCCAATGGAGGTTTGCAGAACAGGGGGGCCATCCACGTCCTTCGGTGCCTGGGCTTTGTTTGTCTGGAAGTCCATGGGGCCTTAGGACGGGGCGCATCTACCTACCCATGGACTTCAAGACCAGGGAAAAAGGAGGTCCATTCGGAGGTAGAGCATCTTAGGTCTTTTCCTTTCTCAGTGCCGCTGTGTAATAAATGTTGCTGGTGCCGCAACCGTAGCATGTAGGGCGTGTAATGTAATAAATGCTGTAGCTTTCAAAATACCTTGTATGCAACGAATGCTCCTGTAGTGAATGCTTTTCCAATGAATGCTTTGTTCTGCTTATAAATGTGATGCGTTCTTCATTTCCATACTTGTTCTTTTGCGATATGGCGTTGAGTCCCGGCACTCCTTCTCTTGAAGAAGGAACATCCTTTATTCGGGCCACTCCACCATGCTCGTTTCTTATGGCCGATTCCATTTTTCCCAGCTTCACCACCGCTCCGACTGCGGTGGGGAAGTTTGACCCTGATCTTCCTTCCTTGAGTGAGGAGTCTGTTCAAGGCCCTCTTCTTCACGAACCTGCGACGGCGGAAGTTTCAAAGAGATCTGGCCGTCTGGTGCGCAAGGTGGGCACCAACGTTCGTGCCTATCTTGAAGGCTTTCGCCATGCTCATCGCAAGAAGACTGTTAACACAACCTTCAAGACAAAGTTTGTGATCGATCATGACACATCCTCCGTGGATTCTTCTTTTTCTGAAGAAATGGCTGTGTACTTTGACCATTCGGGAAACAGTGCTTCACGTTCTTGTGCTTAAATGATGATGTATCGTTGCCTTCTGGCGTATTTTATGTAATGAAACTGCTTGTATGCTCTGTTTTCTTTTCTTTTCATCTCTTTTCTTTTCATCTCTTTTCTTTTCTTTTTTTACACCCCAAGGGGTTTCTATTGCGCTCACACCCTCAGCAGGGCGGCGAAAGTTGTGTCCTCAGCAGGACTAAGGGTCGTGGAAGACATCCTAAGAAGAATTGCAAGTTTTCCGTCCTAAGTAGGACCTTGCGCTGCCCTTCGTGCTAATAACAAGTTGTGCCCATTCGGACCTTGTTCTTCGTCTCGTTCAGAGCGCCGATTCCCCGGGTTAAGCCGTGCGGATGGGCTCCTCCCCTAAAGGGACACTCGACAATAGAGGTTTCCGAGTGGCGAGACGGTTAAATTTTATTTCTTGTGATGTGTGTGGGAGCACGAAGGGACTTTGTTCGCGTAAAGCGAAAGACCGCGTGAGGCAAAAATCGTGGCGTGGGAGCTCGATGTCGCTAAGCAGCGTTGTAAATTGCGTAAAGCAAAGCTAAATTCGCGTGGAAGCGAGAATTTCATTAACTTTTTTTAGCTACCGAGGCCGACTAGTTACGGTTCTCAGTGCATTACACGTAGAAGAAAATAAGATTGTGCGTGTTCCAGTGTCTGCCGAGTTCGCGGCCTTCAAGCGTGCAAAGCTTGTAGGTGCCTGGCCTGAGCACAGCTGTGACCTTGTATGGTCCTTCGTAACTCTTGGCAAACTTTCCCCCTTCTGTGGGCTGACTAGCATCCCTCTTCCTGAGCACCAAGTCCCCTACTCGGAACTCCCTTGCTTTGACCTTGCGGTCGTAGTACTCTTTGACCTGCCTTCGGTAGTTCTCTGCTCTGAGGAAAGCTCGCTCCCGACGTTCTTCAACAAAATGGAGGTCGGTCATCATGGCCTCCTCAATTTCTCGAGCTTCATAGTTTTCCTCCCTGTAGATCGGAACGAACACCTCCGAGGGAACTCTCGCCTCCAGGCCATAGCACATGGAGAATGGTGTCTCTCCTGTCGCTCTACTTGGAGTGGTGCAGTACGCCCATAGCACGTTGGGGAGTTGGTCCACCCATGCTCCTTTGTAGGACTCGAGTCTCTTCTTGATCCCATCCATAATCGTCTGATTGGCGTTCTCCACTTGGCCGTTCCCTTGCGGGTAAGCCACGGAGCTGTATGTGTGCCTTATGTTCCACTCCTGCAAGAGTTCATTGAAATCTCCAGCCTCGAACTGGGTTCCGTTATCTGTAGTGATCTGCTTTGGGACACCATATCGGCAGAGTATGTTGTTGCTCACAAATTTTGAGCATTGCTCCGAGGTTCCTCCCACCAAGGGCTCGGCCTCGATCCACTTTGTGAAGTAATCGATGCCCCCACCGCAAGCTTTTGCAGCTGATGATCCATCAGTGGACAAAGTCCACCACTCGCCCTTCCCGGCCATAGGCATGGGATTGTTGTCTCGCACCGTGCATTCTACCATGAAATCGGCCAAGGCCTGAGCCTTGATCGCT